TCCGCGCTCGGTGCGGCCCGGCTGCGCCCGGGGCTGTGGGAGAAGCCCCGAGGGGCTGCGGGCTGGGCTGGGTGTGCCGTGCCACCGGAGCTCTGAACCGCAGCGGGGTGCGGGAATGGCGAGGGGTTGAGCTCCAGCTGTGTGCCCTGCACAGACAGCGCTCAGTCGAGGAGTCGCAGACTCTTCTGGGCATTTGCCTCATGAACTTGAAGGTTGTGGGTCACCCAGAGCCGTCCCACGGCTCTCGTTACACCGTGATGCCACCGGCTGTAGCTGGGGCAGAAGCTAGCACTGCTTCGAGTGTTGGTGTTGACATATGTTTCTTATTCTTCTTAGAAATCTCATAAAAATGTGTATACTGCAGTAGCATAACACCTGTCAGTGTTTTAAAGGTCTGCTTTAGTGATGTGGACTTCAGTTGTGTATCTGTAAGTAGAAAGAACTTGCAGCTGGTGACAGCAGTAGGAGACAGTCACAGAGCCAGGTGGCTGTGAACATAACAGCCAGCATTGGAAACCTGTATGTCACAAAGAATGGTCAGGATTCCTGGTGTCCTTTCCCTGTGGATGCTGTCACCAGGGCAGCCAGAGCTCCCCACTTGACAGCAGCATGAGGAAGACAAGCTCTGGTGAGGAGGCCATGTTAGATGGCAACTGAGTGATCAGAAGTGGCTTGGTCTGGCCATCTGTGATTGTCTTTGTCTTATATTCATCTGTGTTTCTATCCCAGGGAAGGAGTTATGGGCTGTTAAAAGTATTGAGTTGCAGTGCCCCAAACCCCTTCTCCCTCCTTTTTCTTTCTCTTTTTTTTTTTTTTTTTTTGAAGGGGCATTTAAAACCTCAATCAAGTTCTTTGTATTGTTGAGTGGGACAACTCAGTAAAGCATTACAGCTTCTCTGTTTTGGTAAGCAAATAATATTCAGCTGGCTGTGTGTGGGGAAGCTGTTGTAAACTTCCCTTCTTTTGTAAAGTTCTGCTTTGAAAACTCTTGTTGTCAGTGTAAGGTTCTGAGGAAGATGGTATAGACAAGTGAATATTTGAATATATAAGGTCTTATACCTTATGTAAGGTTTGAATAAGTATATTGCTGACTGTAAAAATTGTTTGGTGTTTAAACTCTTCTCGTTTATGCTTCAGTAACAAAAAA